AGGAACATACAAGGGGATATCCCTTGGCGTATGTTGTTCGCTGATGACATAGTGTTAGTGGACGAAAGTCAGACGGGAGTAAATAGGAAACTAGAGTTATGGCAGCAGACTCTTGAGTCTAAAGGTTTTAGATTGAGCAGAACTAAAACTGAATACATGAGATGCGACTTTGGCGGAGCTGTACAGGAGGAGGGAGATGTGAGTTTGGAAGGTCAAGTAGTGCCTAAGAAGGATACATTTCGGTATCTGGGATCGATGCTACAGAGGGATGGAGATATTGATGCGGACGTTAGCCATAGAATCAAAGCAGGGTGGATCAAGTGGCGACAAGCTTCTGGCATTCTCTGTGACAAGAGGGTACCACAAAAGTTAAAAGACAAGTTTTATAGAACGGTGATTAGACCGGCTATGTTGTATGGAGCAAAATATTGACCTACAAAGATTCGACATGTTCAACAACTGAGTGTTGCAGAAATGCGTATGTTGCGATGGATTTGTGGTCACACAAGAATGGACCGAGTTCGGAATGATGATATACGTGATCGCCTAGGAGTAGCACCAATTGAAGAAAAGCTTGTCCAACATCGGTTGAGATGGTTTGGCCATGTCCAAAGGAGACCTCCAGAGGCACCAGTGCATTGTGGAGTCCTAAGCCAAGCTAATAATATGAGGAGAGGTAGAGGAAGACCGAAATTGACATGAGGGAGACAATAAAAAGATATTTGAAAGCTTAGGATATACCTAGAGATCTATATTTGAATAGGAGTGCTTGGAAAGCAGCTATTGAAGTGCATGAACCGTGACTTGGGGCTCTTGGTAGGTTTCAACTCTAGCCTACCCCAACTTGCTCGGGACTGAAAGGTTATGTTGTTGTTGTTGTTGTTGCACTTGCTGTAGCTGAAGATGAAAGAAGGTCATGGTCTTTGGCGGGGGCTCGAGGATTATCCCTCTTGGATGCCCTCGCTCTGGGTGGTTAGAGCCCTGTCTACCTTGGTCGTGATCTTTATGTCACGGGCGTGTTAGTTTTCTAGCAGCAGCAGCAGTGGAGTGTTTGTGTAGAGTTGTGTGTGGTTTTTGTGTGTGTTGTGTTGTATGGGTTCTTATCCCATTTTATTATCTTCTTAATACAATGATGCGCAGCTCTCCTACGTTTCCGAGGAAAAAAATTACCTAGCATGTCGAATTTTGAGCAGCACCCAATGAACCACATGCTTGGCAGGCGAAGCAGAAACAAATTGGCATTGTCCAAAATACGACAATCTGTAAACACAATGAATCCTATCAATGAGGAAACCAACATTGAGGTAGCACAACTCTTTCAATCCTGAACGCTCAACTTCCTAATAACGTTAATTCCTGAACACTCAACTCCCTAATAAAATATAGAAACTAGCTCACTCCTGACACATTTTTTGGAATGGTTAGCAAAAGCACAACTCCTGATATACGTGATAGATTAGGGGTAGCACCAATTGAAGAAAAGCTTGTCCAACACTGGTTGAGATGGTTTGGACATGTCCAACGGAGACTTCAAGAGGCACCGGTGCGTAGTGAAATCCTAAGCCAGGATAGTAACGTGAAGAGAGGCAGAGGAAGACCGAAGTTGACTTGGGTAGAGGCAATAAAAGAAGACTTGAAAGGATGGAATATACACAAAGACTTAGCCTTAGATAGGAGTGCTTGGAAGACAGCTATTCACATGCCTGAACCTTGATTGCTTCTGCTGGGTTTCAACTCTAGCCTACCCCAACTTGTTTGGGACTTAAAGGCTTTGTTGTTGTTGTTGTTGTTGTGGTTAGCAAAAGCACAGAAAAAAATAAAATAGTGCTATCGAGATGTGCTACGATAAATATATTATCCAGGGAGAACACACATAAAATGGTTCCATGGTGTAGTGGTTATCACTCCAGACTTTGAATCTGGCAACCTGGGTTCAAATCCCGGTGGGACCTACTTTCTTTTTTTATAAAAAGAGAATTGGTTATGTGTACTCAAAAGGTCCAACCTTTTGATTTTTGAAAAGTACAATCATATTTCTCTGGTTCACTTCTCTCCGGTATTAAATCTAGTATGTGTTGTATGATTCTAGGATGGAGGAAAGAGCAAGAGGTAGATAGGCATGTCTTAATGGTATTGCCCCTTTCATTCAGCAACTACGGTTAGGGTAGAGGAGATAGGATTGCACAAAATATGGAACAGGAATCGAACAGCTTGGCTAGAGAGAAATGGCATACATGTGACAAAAAGTGGGAGATGACAAAATTTGGTGTTTGCTGGCCACCGAAAAGATAGTGGCACCTAGTTGTAGCATGCAACAACAGGCATGTGATATCTAATTAGTGTTAAAACCTTGAAAGTAGTAGAAGGATTTCCTAGAAATCAATGGTGAAAAAGCTTGTGGATGTGATGTCTAACTAGCATTAAAAAGTAATAAGCATACCATATGTCGGGTAAAGCATCAAGGAGCTATAAGCACTGTGACATAGGACATAATGCATTATAACCAAATGTTTGACCATTTGCGATATGTTCCTTAAACCGGCAAAATATATGGTGGAAACCATATATTAGGTGAAAACATGGAAACCAATTCAAAAAACGTGTTTTGCTCATTCAAAAAAAAATTGGAAATTTGGTATGTCCATAGTTCATACAAATATGTACTCATGTGCAAAAGTTGGCATGCAAACTCAAACTAGAAAATTTCATACAATTCTCAAAATAAAATAGAAAAAATCATACAAATATGACAAATTTTAGAAGCAATTTTGTCTTCTAGTGCACATGCAGCTGAAATTTGTCATTTTCGTATGAAATTTTCAAAAGCAAGTTTGCATCTCAACTTTTGCATGTGAGTACATATTTTTATGCACTATAGAAGTGCCAAATTTCAGTTTTTTTAACAACGAAAATACATTTTTTGAATTGGTTTCCATGTTTCCACTTAGTATGTTGTTGGCACCAAACATTTTGCCAAACCCTTAAACATTCCTTCCAAAATCTTGTAGTCAAATACAAAATGATTCACGCAATGAGATGAAACTAATCATAACCTAAATATATCGGCACTAAGAACAAAGAATGAAACAGTCACAAATATGCGATAGAAAAATGGAATGTGGCAATACGTAGATTCAAGAGAGATGAGGTTAGTTAAGGACAGTGTCAAGGAAGGTTTGTGTACAGCACATCGCCATCAACGGCCACACATTTGTGTTGTAATTCTGGCCTCTGTTTTGCAGACCATTCCTAATTTTGTTATGTTTTGCAGAACATGATGCATATAACATTCCCAATTTTGTTATGTTTTAGAGACCATGTTCATAGAACATTCCTAATTTTGTTACGGAAGTTAAGCAGCTTTGAATATATTCCTGGGAATTTACATAGATAAACTGTCAAAGTCCCAAATTTTCAACACTCTTTGTTTGGCACCATCGTGTTAGTTATAGTGGTCAACCAAAAGAGAAAATCTAGTTCCACATAAACATAAGGAATCGTCTGCGGATGATTGTTCTAGTAGATATGATATGGATGTTTTGTTTCGTCCGCTCTGTTTTAGAGTATGAGCAAGGCGCAAACAAAAATACCATAAGATGCAGGAATCAACGAGGCAATAATAGCACCTTTAATGCCTGACATGAAATATGTTGGCATGATGGCACCAAAAGAAGACACCATATCAGGTACACAGGACATGCCAAGAGCACAACAGCTATGTTATCAAATAAGCATCCGAAATTACCTAGCATGTCAAGTTTTGAGCAGCACCCAATGCTACCACATGCTTGGCAGGCGCAGCAGAAACAAAGGTTGGCGTCGTCCAAAATACGACAACCTGTAAACACAATGAATCCTATCAATGAGAAAACCAACCATCCAGGTAGCACAACTCTGTCAATCCTGAACACTCAACTGTGTAATAACGTTAATAAATCGAAACCCTCACAAGCAACAGGTTGCAGATTAAGGTAGACGTGGCAAGGGATCTGCGTCCGACCAACCGACTGAGGTGTGGCCGAAATGGTCGCCAGGGCGGAGAAGTCATGGAGGACCGCATCTGCGGCAAGATCGACAACCCAGGCTAGACTTCAGGGGCGGCGACAAAGGACCCAGCGCCGCTGAGCATGCCGTGGGCTGTGGGCAGGCAGCTTTTGGGCGCTCCTCAAACGGCGCTGCCATTGGATGCGGCAGAGAGAGACCCCGTGAAAGCTACGGCGCTCGCCTTCGTACGAGGGGAGGCGGAAGCGCCATGGGTGTTTGGTGGTGACTGGTGAGGGTGCCCGTAGGACGACGCCCGTACGGGGTAGGGTTTGAAGGCAAGCAGGCACTAGGCAGCGACGAAATGCAGATGAAGACGGAGACCGGCCGCCGGCGACGAGAGGCTTCGTGGGCCGCCTCGATCCGTCTTCTCGTCGGCCCAGCAGGCTAAGATATTAGGCCGGCCCGGTAGTTTTAGCCCACGTTATCTCCGCGCGCCGGGAGAAAGAGTCCGTCCACGCGTGCGTATTGATGAGATGGGCTCGCACGGACTCTGATGCGTCGCGTCGTGTTCGTGTCCCCCCGCGGCACACGCTGCGTGGTGCTCCCCTCTCCGTGAGCCGCTCACGCTGACGCACCACGAGCTCCTCGATCCCATCCGTTCCGTCGCACGTGGCAGCTCCTCCCGACACGCGTCACGCTCTGGTGCCACGGCAACCTCGACGATCAAACCCGGACCGCTCAACGCCAATATTAAAAAGCCTCCCGCGGCGATCACGCACGCCATCAGCAAGCCGCAAGCCACTACTAGCGTCGAGCGATCACAAGCGGTGACCATCAATCAGCTCACACACCTCCGTTCATCAGCACATCAGTAGCCACGCTCTACTCATCTTAGCTCTCGAAGTGCCACTGCGGTCTTCGCCGGCCAGCTCGCTCGCCGCACAGTGGCGTCACAGCAACAAGCCAAGAAGCAGCAGGCCAGCAAGGGCCACGAGGAGGCCGGCCAAGGCCAGGCGATGAACCTGGAGGAGATCGGCAAGTACCGCGCGGAGGCGCAGCAGCGGTCGGCGGACGCCATCCGCGCCGCCGAGGAGCGGTTCAACAAGGCCAACAAACAGCAGGCGCGCGGCGCCGGGGCGCACGGGACCGTCACCGTGGCCCAGGGGACCGCGAAGCAGGGCGAGAGCCATGGCCGCGGTAGCCACGGCTCTGAGTCTGAGGCGCAGCAGTGGCTGGCGGACGCCGCGGCCGATGCCAGGGAGAGGTGCAACAAGGCCCTGGGGACGAGCCCGGCAGCCGCGCACGGAGGCAAGGCGTCGGCCGGCGGCGCGGCTCAACACCAGCAAACCAAGAACGAGCAGGAGGGTGGCCAAGCCCGCGGCCATCTGACAAGGCAGGACGAGATGGGGAAGTACGGCAGCGAGGCGCAGAAGAACTCGACCGCGGAGGCTGCACGTGCCGCGGTGGAGAAGCACGACGATAAGGGCAGGGAGACCGGCGCGACAGCGGGACAGGGCGTGAAGGACACGGCGGCGAAGCACGACAAGGGCAGGGAGACCGGCGCGACAGCGGGACAGGGCGTGAAGGACACGGCGGACTATGCCTCGGCCAAGAGCGCCGAGGCCAAGGACACCGGCGCGCGCGGCGCGCAGGCCGCGGCGGAGAAGACCCAGGAGGCCACGGGGACAGCGGCCGACTACACCAAGCAGGCGGCCGCGAAGGTGAAGGATGTCACTGCCGGTGCGGCCGGGACGACCATGGAGTACGCGAAGCAGGCGGCGGTGAAGGCCAAGGACGTGACGCTGGGCACCGGGGAGACGGCCGCGGAGTACGCGAAGCAGGCGGCGGTGAAAGGCAAGGACGTGACGCTGAGCACCGGCGAGACGGCCGCGGATTTCGCCAAGGCCGCGGCCGAGAAGGCGAAGGAGGCGGCGGTGGCGACGGCGAAGATGACGGCCGGGTACACGCAGCAGGCGGCGGTGAAGGCCAAGGACGTGACGGTCTCGACGGGCGCGCAGGTGGCGCAGAAGGCGACAGAGGTGACGGCCGACACCGCGCGCAAGGTTGCGGAGTACGCCAAGGAGAAGGCGGAGCAAGGCAAGGAGCGCGCGGCCCGCGCCGTCGACCAGGCGGAGGAGCCTGGCCGTGGCGCAGCCGCGCAGGCCAAGGACTCGGCGTCCCAGACGGCGAGCAAGGCCAAGGACACGGCGTCCCAGGCGGCGGACAAGGCTCGCGACATGACCGGACAGCACAAGGACAGGGCCACGGACACCGCCGGCGACATGGCGCGTAAGGCCGCGGACACGGCCGTACAGGCCAAGGACAAGGTGAAGGACACAGCCGTATCCATGTTTCAGAAGGCGGGTGACACCGCCGGACATGCCAAGGACACGGTGAAGGACACCGCTGCCCAGGCCGGGGACAAGGCGAAGGACACCACTTGGCGCGCGGAGCAGAAGGCAGGGGAAGTGAAAGAAAGAGCGTCAGGGACCGGCAACGGCAAGACTGGCGGTGGCGGTGCGACGACGACGAAGGCGAAGGTCCGTGCACGCGCATGGTGGTGTTCGACGTCGCGTTTGTTCTTTTGGGCAAGCGTGTGCGTACGTAGCTGACGGCTTAGTTGTGATGCAGGGTGGCCACGACGAAGACACCACGGTAGTGGGCGACGTCCTGGAGGCGGTGGGCGCGACGGTGGTTGGGCTCGCGCAGCACGCCAAGGGGATCGTGGCCGGCGAGGAGGAGCTCGTCCCGGTAGAAGGCGAGAAAGGGAAGGCCACCGGAGGAGCCAAGGAGGAGAAGCGCAAGCTCGCTTGATGGAATGATGACGTGGAGCGGTTGCTCGGTTCGCCCTGTACTGCCTTTGCGACACGTTGAGCTGTGTACAGTAGAATAACGTTTGCCACTGTATGGGTTCTCCCGTGCGGGGTGTGAACTGCGATATACGGAGTAGTGTGTTTAATGTATGGCATGTGAGTTTGTGTACTTTTTTTATCGTCTACTCGTACTAGTGAAATTGTTGGAGGGAGCAATAAATTGAACCAAACGTCAGTCTACGAGGTTATCTAGACTGAGGCTAAGTTTTGTTTTAACTCATTTATAGAAAAAAAAATCTTCTGAAACCGATGGAGAACCTATACCAAACAAGACCTAAATTGAACCAAACAAGACCTAAATTAAACCAAACTGTTAATTTACGGCTCTAAAGTTGGTGAAGAAGCCGTGCCAAATGGAGTTTACGGCTTCCCGAAGATGGTGTACAAGTCGTGTCAAACGGGACCTAAATCGAACCAAATCTGAGTTTAAGAGGTTATCTGGACCAAGGCCAAAATTGGAGGGAGTAATTTGGATTTTTTCCAGTTTAGGCCTTGTTTAACACGACTTCACTTCACTAGTTGAAACCATTTTTTTGGCTTTAGATCCATAAATAGTTTTATCGATGGAGCAGGAGCCGTTTTGATAAACCGTTTAGCAAAAACAACTCATTTAAAAGCTCCTTGAAGCATGCTCTTATAAAACCCCATGCAAAACCCACTACGAGGTGAAGCCGGATGAAACTATTATTTTTTGTTCTATCTCTGTGAGAGCACGATTTAAGGGGCTTTCTGGATTAAGCAATTTTGTTTTTACCCCGTATGATAGAGAAAGGCTCCAAACAACTTCTAAAACTAGTGGAGAAGTCATACCAGACGTGGCCTTAATATTACTAGCAAGGTGTCTGTGTCTTGCAATTGAAGAAAAAAAACTATCAAAACATTAGAAAATCCACGGTTGGAACTGAATAAAAATATACGTTGAATTTGGTTACGAGCACGTACATACGGATCACAGGATAGCAAACATCGATACAGAACACATAACTGAGTACGCTTAAGGGCCCCGGATGGTAGAATTGGTAAAGGATTTTTTTTTTAGGATTTGGATTCCTTTGGATTTTTTTCTACACTTGTCTTTGGTTCACAGGAAATACAAAGAAAATATTCCATAGGATTGGATTCAGTTTCACAGGAAATAAACAAGAGCTCCGACTTCATGAAAAGTTTCCTGGCGCGAAACGAAACCACTCGCGCGCTCTTCCGCGTCTGTTCGCGCAATTTTTTTCGGCCTTGCGCTGCTTCTGGAGAACCAAAACAACAAGAACAGAGGGAGAGGGGGTCGCTGCCGTCCTCGCAGAGGGAGACGGGGTCGCCCCCATCGCTAGCCAAGCGATGCCATGCCGCCGACCGCATGACATCCACCCACCGGTGAGACGACGCGAGCCTCCTCAACGCCGGCGACCCTCCCTACGCCGGCCACGCGACATCGGCTCCATCCCAGCGGCGGCACCCTCCCGAATCCATATCATCAATCACGGATCCACATCTTGTAAGTTATCTGTAAGCTTCTTCTGTATCTTCCGCACACTTTTTTTCCCATCTGAGGCATGCACTTTCCTTTTTTTCCAATCGGAGAATGTATATTCTATCTTTGATTTGGGAAACGATGCCCCGGTACTACTCAACTGCATATGCTTGATGATGCTGACGATGACTGAGCATATTTGGGGAGGAGCTAGCTGTATGTCAAGAAGGTTTTGTTGCAATGCTTTGTGACTGAGCTGAGCAGATTTGGGGATGAGCTAGTTGTTGGTCTCTTCAGGATGCAAATGAGAAGGCTGTGTTTGTATGTTGCTGCATATATGTATAAGCACATGTAACGGCAAGTTTTCTGTTGTGAATGCAATGGCTGGCCAAAGAGCTTCTCAAACGTGTACAGTATAGCTTCTCAAACCTGTTCAGAATTCCTGCGTTTTTTCCTTTGGTGCTGTCAAAGAGCTCCTTATTTGCTTTTCCTGTGTTTTTGAACCCTATAGGATTAGAAGAACCTAGCACATCAATTACTATGTTTTTCCTATCCCTGCATGTTTCCTATCCTGTGATTCAAAGGGGGCCTAAACAAAAAAGCACTAGCAAAATAAAAATAGAAGAAGAAAAATGAAAAAGACCGAAATCGAGAAACTCTTCGGGATTTAATTTATATATACCTAATAATAGTTTCTTCTTCAGTTGCTTTTGGAAGAGTTCCCAACGTGTTTTTTTACGGCAAATTATGACAGAATCTGTGTACAGTTAATATTATTGGAGTGCTAGAACAACTTCGTCGTTAGCGTGGGTTCCATCGTTTATCCATCACAATAGAGCTAATAGATCCAATTGCAAGATATTTTACCACCTATTTTGCCTATTTCCCTCATGTTTTTCAAAATAAGAAAACATATAAATATCTTCTGGATACGTGCAAAATGGTAAGGCGATGGCAATGTCTCGGTTCTCGTTTTGTTGATTTTTTTAGTTACACGGTACAAGACAGACCCTCACAATGCACGCAAACTCACCTTTATGGACGTACGCACGCAAACTCTATCTCTATGAGCTTCTTCGAAGACCAGGTCGGTAATTCCCTGAGATTAACAAAGTCACCACAGGCATCTCGTTGTCAACAAGAACGCCACCTACCACTCACTAGATGCACAAGGCCGTGAAATCCTTAGAAAGTTCGTTCTCACAGAGGGTCGAACCTAGGACCTGCTACTAAGACTCTTGGTTGTTCTTGTTGCAACATGTTGATTTTTTGTTCTCTTTCCCTTATCAACTTATAAAACTAGGGAAAGCGCTAATCACAGACGTTCACTGGATAAAATAGCAGTGGATGATCAGACAACCCGTGACTTTTCCTTTCGAAAAAATATTTTCATAACTTTTTGTTTTTGGAAAACTACAAAATTACATTCATATTTTTTTGTGTATAACATTTTACGTAATAAACATTATCCATAATTTCTTAGCAAGCTCATAACTTTTGTGTATATATAACATTTTGTGAAACAAAACTTATTACCATATTTTTTATCATAGCTTTTTCGATATGTTTTTACGTAATTCTATACACAATTTATCATGACAAGTTTTCTCCATGATTTTATAACTCAATTTGTTCATAACTATTAGCGGACAAATTTATCATAACAATTTTATAACATAATTGTTTTGACATAATTTTTGTACAATAAATAGTACGAATAACATAGCTTATACACATGTTTATATTGTCTCACAATTTTTTGACATAACTTGTTCCAAACAAACTTCTAAATCTTAAAAAATATTCCTCGTGGAAACTACAGAGAGCGCCGGAGGGGGGGGGGGAAGAAAAAGGAAAAAAATGAACGATCGTCGTTCTGGATTTGGGTACAGAAGTAGACTTGACCGATGACCCAGCCCAAGTCATTAGTCCAGCCGGAGCTAACATGGCAAGGCAAAGCTTCAGTAGCTACACATACTCAGCCCACGTCCACGGTCTACTACACACCACATTCGTCTATCAACATTGAAGTCTCAACTCTCAAGTGCAACGACACACTGTTACACACTTCTCCAGTTCATTCACCATCACCAGTAGCCATGCCTAACCTTCTCGTCGTCCTCCTTATCCTCCTCTTGCTCAATTCCATCTCTGATTCGGCGCACGCCAACGACGCCGAGCTCCAAGCTCTCTTGACCATCAAGAAAGATTGGGGCAACCCTTCTGCCCTCAGATCATGGAAGAACAGCAGTGCCTCTGCTTCGTCTACTCACTGCAAGTGGGCTGGGGTTACATGCAGCAACGGCCAAGTGACCGCCTTCGTCTTCCAAAACTTCAACATAAGCCGTCCAATCCCAGCGTCCATTTGCAGGCTCAAGAACCTGACGTACATGGACCTCTCCTACAACAACCTCCCCGGCGAGTTCCCGGAGGCTGCACTCTACGGCTGCTCAGCTCTGCGGTTCCTCGACCTGTCCAACAACATCTTCTCCGGCGTCCTCCCGACTGACATCGACAAGCTGTCTCCACGGATGGAGCACCTCAACCTGTCAAGCAATGGTTTCAGCGGCATCATGCCGTTGGCGATCGCCGGGTTCCCGAAGCTCAAGTCGTTGGTCCTCGACACTAATAGCTTCAATGGGAGCTACCCGGCTGCCGCCATCGGCAAGCTCACGCAGCTCGAGACGCTAACCCTGGCAAGTAACCCCTTCGCGTCAGGCCCCATCCCTGACCAGTTTGGCAAGTTGAAGAAGCTGAAGATGTTGTGGATGTTAGGGATGAACCTGACTGGTGGCATCCCTAACAAACTGTCGTCGCTCACTGAGCTGACGACGTTGGCTTTGTACCACAATAATCTTCACGGTGAAATCCCGGTGTGGATTTGGAATCTTCAGAAGCTTGAGATCCTGTACCTTTATGACAACAGCTTCACTGGTGCAATTGGGCCAAATATCACCGCCATGAAGATTCAAGAGATCGACCTTTCCACGACACTACTACAAAAACTTTACTGGAGGCGGGCGTTTTCGGTTTTCCACGGTGGGCAAAGCCGTCCGCCGCGGCCTAGAGGCCACGGTAAATCGTGGCTTAACCACCACGCGCGGGCTTGCCTTGCCCGTGGTGGTTAATTTCAATTACCGGATAGCGGTGTAACGTGCCCGCCGCGGTAAATATACTTTTACCACGGCGGGCACGTTACACCGACCGCCTCGGTTAATCGTTTGGAAAAAAAAAAAACCCAAAGCCCACCGGCGAGCCCATTGACTGAGCCCACCGGTGAGCCCAATCCCAAACCGAAACCCTAGCGCCGCCATCGTCCCCTCGGATTCATTGCGGCCGCCCTCGCTGCTGGCCTTGGCCAAGATGAAATTTGGAAAGGAGGAGGGGCGCGAGCAAGACAGACATCCGCATGCGCCGCCACCGCAAGCTGGCCGGACGTCGTGCGGCTCTAGATGCGGGAAAGAGAGAGAGGCACA